CAACCTGACCCTGTCAACACCTACTGATCCCTTTTGTTCCTGATTACATGTCACTATCATGGAAAAAAAAAAAAGTTTCCCCAAACTTCAGTTTAGGTTATGGCTCCCTGTTACTCGAATAGAACCAAGCACTTTTCTTCCAAACATAAATCATAATTTAAATTTAACTTTATGTTTATCTCCTCTGCTCGAATATCTGCCATATGAGGGTAGGATCAGGTCTTTTATTTTTAAGTAATTTCTACACTCAGTGTAGGGCTCGAACTCATAACCCTGAGACCAAGAGTTGCATTCTTTACTTACTGAGTCAGCCAGACACCTCAGGTTCAGGTCTTTCTGACTCATAAACATATAACACAGTGCCTGGCTAACAAAAGTGTCCAAGAATATTTACTAGATATGTAATACATTTGTAACTGAGACAAAACTAAGACAGCAGCAAATAAAATCTATACAAATGTTGCTTAATGGTGTCTGAATTAACTTTCAGTAATTTTCAAGTATGAGTTTTCATGTTTTTAGCTTACCTACATAGTTTAACTATATTAAGCATTTGTTTTTCAAACCACAGACGTTTAAAAGGGAAAAAAAAAATGAGAGAATCCCACAATTTTGAGCTTGCGGACAAAAAAGAGGCAGAAGTGGCACCAGTTGCTCCTCCCTCTTAACTCCTGCTCCTGTTTCCAAAGTAAAAAATGTCCTCATTCTTGCTCCAGCTGGATGTGGGAGGCGAAGACTTTTCAAGACCCCTCTTACACCAACTCTTGGCAGCAACTAGTTTTCTGTGGTTGCTCTCCTTCTTCCAAAAGGAAATGTTTTTAGTAGAGTCAAGTCTCAGAGTGTGAAGGAAAAAGTAAGATGCAATCCACTATAGCCTCACCCAATGGCTCAAACATTTAACAGACAACATATTTAGTAGTTTTTCTGTCCATGCTCCCATCACTGCCTTTTGCAGAAAAGACAGGATCATATTGCAGATGAGCAGGAGGGCTGAGAGATAATGCCACTGCCATATTAAAAAATACAATCTGCCATAGGTCTCAGAAGTTTCTTCCAATTTAATTCTCCTTCTAATTAAAGAATACAAAAGAGATTTAACAAATTTAAAACACTAGGCTTGGGTTATGAAGCCTAGAATTAGAAACTACAAACGTTTCTAATTTTTGGAAAAGTAGGTCCATATCTACTTAAATTTCTTAGGGGTAAGACTCTTGGTTTAGAATAATTTCAGGCCTAAACTGACTTGGTTTCCTTCACTTCATAGTCCTCTAATATGTCTTTGTTTTTTTTAAGTTTTTTTAAATTTATTTAAAAAAAAATTTTTTTAATGTTTTATTTATTTCTAGGAGAGAGAGAGAGAGACAGTGTGAGCAGGAGAGGGTCAGAGAGAGGAGTCACAGACTCCGAAACAGGCTCCAGGCTCTGAGCTGGCAGTCAGCACAGAGCCCGACGCGGGGCTCGAACCCACAAATCACGAGATCATGACCTAGGCAAAAGTCGGACGCTTAACCGACTAAGCCACACAGGTTCCCCAAGTTTTTTTTTTTTAAATGTTTATTCTTGAGAGAGAAAAACAGAGACAGAACATGAGTGGGGGAGGGGCAGAAGGGGAGAGGGAGACACAAAATCTGAAGCTGGCCCCAGGCTCTAAGCTATCAGCACAGAGCCTGACTCAGGGCTGGAACTTGAGAACCATGAGATCATGACCTGAGCCGAAGTCGGATGCTTAACCGGCTGAGCCACCCACTAATATGTCTTTTCTAATAGATGTTTTAGCAGTGATGTCCACAAGCCTCAAGTGAGACAAGTGGACATATAAGGCTGCCTCTGCCAAATTGCATAACTGAGCGTTAAAATCTTGTTTGTGGTTTAAAGTTCATATCCTGTACTTTGGGCACAGAGTAAGGTATAAAGAGAGAAAAATATCAAGTAAGATACAACTACTGCATCTTATAAACATAGACTAAGTTTTTGCCATTTACATATATATGTGTGTAATATGTATATATATATCTTATATTACCACTCTCCTTTAACAGGCTCAAACTGACATTCTTTATTAATACTGGAAAATATTATATTGAAAAGATTGTAGCATGATGATTAATGACCTGGGCTTTAGAATCATCCTGGGTTTAAATCCCAAACTTAGCACTGGTCTATGACTTTGAGGATGTTATTAAACCTTCAAATTCAGTTTCCCTAGTGTAAAATATAATAATAGTAACTTTCAGAAGATTTTTGTGAAGATTAAGTAAAATATCACATATGGAATATTATGTTTCCTGAAAAAACACAGGGACTCAATGAATTATAATTATTATTATTATAGAGAATGAACTACTATTATTATTGAGATTTCATTATCCACTATCTCAAAGAAATCGAGAATGAAAGTTTTCATTGCTAAAACATGTAATTTTAACTTGAAGAGATTTTTATTTCCAGTTTCCTGCCATTTTTGAGGAATTATCTCATCATTTGCTTTATAGAAAAGAAGTAAAGGGAGCTCAGAAGAGTTAAGTAGGTTTTCCAAGGTCAATCAATTAATGAATTCAGAAGACATAATTAGAACTCCTGTCTTTTGTTTCTGGGTGTCATACTTAACACTACACCAAGGTGCTCCTCATAATGTAGATTTATTATTATCTTTAGAATGATAGCAAAGGATAGAATAATACACCTTAAAAGTTACATTCTTCTTAAGCACTTTTTTTTCCTCCATAGCCCTAGGAAGAAGGTATGGGATGTATATTTTATTGCTGGATTAATGAGAAGTCAAAGCGTCGGGAAAACCTGAGCATCCATTGAAGGTTACAGAGTCACTAGGTGATCAAATTGGCATCAGAACGCAGTCGCCTTAGTGTTCTCTCCATCGCTACGTGCTGCTCATGATAACATTAGGCTTTTCTCCAGAACTTTGTACTTTTCAAGATTCTAACATCCATTTCTTCAAACAAGTTGTCAAAAAGGTCATAGGTCTTTATGGTGGGAACTTCCTTGCAAATTGAGCCCCAAATAGTTCAGAAACAAATGACAAAAAGTGCCACAGCATCTTTCAATGTAAATACATGTGTCGTGAGCCTTCTCAGGTTCTGTATCACCACAATGTGACAGAGAATTGTTAAGACCACTACTTTGCTGACCAAAAGCCATTAGGAAGACTGCATTAAATTTTCAATGTTTAAGTTACCTCATTGTGTAAAAATTGTTTGGAGTGAGTTATTTTTTCACAGATTTACATATAATCTTTGATTATTTATACATAACATTGGGTTAAACTATATTTCACACTAGGAAATAATTTTCTTAACATAAACAAGTAAGACTTTTTAACATTTCTTTATCAGTATAATTATGCTTTGGCCCTGAGACTCTGGAATTTGATGGTAGTACTGAAAGGAAGATAGGATACTTAGGATTAATAGGCAAATAGTTCACTATTAGACACTTTCAGTACATCAGCAGAACTGAAATGAATACTTGATTAATATCCGTCAGTAACGAGATTGCTCAAAGCCATAATATATTTGGAAGCAAACAAAACGTGTGTGCTGTTTGTGTGTGTTGGGGTGTGGGGTGGTTTACACACAGATACACACACACACACACACAGCCCACACAAGTCCAGATACACAGTCACAATTCTCATAACTTCAAACTTGGGAAATGAATGTTTAGGATTTTTTAAAATAAGGACACAAAAAATAACTGCTTATGTCTTCCAAATAAATTTCAACAAAGAATAAGATGACTATAATCTCTATTGTTAAATTTTTTATTTTAGAAAGCATTATTTATTTTATTTAGAAAGCATATTAAAATAGGTTGCTGAAATATAGTTCAAATATAGTTTCTAATGGAAACAGAATCATAATTGCCATAGAATAAATTAATCTTTCAGAGATGCCTGGGTGGCTCAGTCATTTAAGCGTCCGACTTCAGCTCAGGTTGTGATCTCACGGTTTGTAAGTTTGAGCCCCATGTAGGGTTCTCTGTTGACAGCTTAGAGCTTGCAGCCTGCTTTGGATTCTGTGTCTCCCTCTCTCTCTGCCCTTATCTCCCTCGCACTCTCACTCTCTCTCTCAAAAAATAAACATTAAAAGAAAAGAATGAATTGATTTTTCAAAACAATGAAACCTAAGAAAATTATGATTTTGAGGTCAAAGGATTGATTTCTTTTTAGTGTTAATTGGCAAATTCTGTAAGCAATATATAATATTCTATACTACAATTTAATTAAAAAAATAAAAATTTAATTCCTGCTTTAAATTTAATCTACTAGAATTTTAAAATCTGGATCTCACCTTATATACAATGGCTTTAAAACACTCAAATAGCTCTTGATAAAAATTACTTTTTAAAAAATTTCCATTGCAATAATACCAGGACCACATGACATCGATTTTATATCTAGTCTACACTTTCAATTCTCATGTCATAGTATTTTTATTTCTCTTGGCCCATAGTTAATATGCCAATGTAAAACTTTTAATACATTTTGCTTGTCTTTTCCTTATTTACACCTTCTAAATTCAGTTGCTGTTAGTAACACCCCCACTAGATCAAAATTTATACTTTCTACGTTTTCTTGAGAAGTCAGCCTTTTTAGTAGTTTATTATTTTTACTGCCTTGCAAAACTTCATCTTAATCACATTATCATTTGATAAAACACTGACTATGAGAAAAGAATCTTTTTTTTTGTACTTAAAGATGTTTCTAAAAGAAAGTCTTAGGAACTCTAATAACCTGTTAATCCATGGATTATTTGAGTTCCTAAGATATTTTAGAATCCATGTAGTCAAACCAATGACAGATACTTTTCTATATACTATACCTCATTAAGTCCTTACCACAAACGCAGATGCAGTAAATACTAATCACTGTTATACAAGAGAAAGCTGGGATAATAGTGATCTAACATAGTGAATCAGCACACACAGCAAACATGTTACTCCAAATTCTATGCCATTTCTCTTAAATTTCATTGCCTTCTTACAGACTGAACGTGCACATATCCTTCAACAGGATACCCCAAGGCCAAAAGGGTTAAAGGACTTGATTAAGATGAGAGAGTCTGTTGAGAGACAAAAATGAGATTAGACATCAAAATAAGAATCTCAAAGTGCTGTTCCTAACAATATTTGGCACCATGCAGGACATTAGAGAACAAAGACAAATGACACTCAGTCCCTGCTCTTGAGAGTATCTCAGCCTGGTGGGAAATATAACCACATTATTAACAAAATGTGTGAATCATGGATTCTATGGGATAAGAGAAGAGCAGGGCTGCTGGTGCTTAGAAAGCAGTAGGAAAGCTTTTACACAAGGGAAGACCATTTGAATTGGGTCCCAAAAGCATGAGCACGAGTTCTGCAGGGAAAAAAGGAAGAGTATGTTTCTGGAAGGGTCATGGCCGGTGCAATCAGACAATGTGATCGCCGCCATAGAGATGACGCTGGAAAAGGATTACAAAATACTTCAGGTGCTGTGGTGCACGCCAGGGATTTTCATGCTTTAGGTACTAGGATAGGAAACCATCGTACCTCTGCTCTTTTTTCCCAGAGAAGTAACACTTTCCAATTCATGGTTTGAAAGGTGCCACTAACAACATTGTGAAAGAGATTTTAAATGACATTGATGTTCATAAAATTAAAAAACTTTTTACAGTAATAACCCCTAAGGAATATATAACAAATAGTAGTTGAATTATTCTCTTAGCTGTTATCCTAATAAAGACTGTGTGCATGTGTATACATATGTGTATAATTTAAAATATTTAGGGGCACCTGGATGGCTCAGGTGGTTAAGTGTCTGACATGGGCTCAAGTGATGAACTCGAAGCTTGACTTGTGAGTTTGACCCCTGGGTGAGGCTCTGTACTGACAGAAAGGAAACTGCTTGGGATTCTCTCTCTCTTCCTCTCTCTCTGCCCCTCCCCCCTCTCAAAATTTGAAAAACTTTTATATCCTATTTCTAAATATATGTTCTTTGTTCATAAATATATTTTTATGTATTTACAATATTCATTTTATTAGTTAAATCTGCATTTTTACATAATAGTAAGATTATTTTCTTTGAATATGTGTATAACCTCTTATAATATATATTCTATCTCTAGCATTAAAAATAAAAATACTTAAAGGAATATTGAGTATCACATATAACTATATATATTATTTGTGTATTTCATAAGTTGTAAACTTTATCTTATTTGATATGGGGAATCAGGGAATGTCTTTTTTTAAAGTTTATTTATTTATTTAGAGAGAGAAAGAAAGAGAGAATGAGTGGACAGGGAGCAGAGAGAGAGAGTGAGAGACAGAATCCCTAGCAGGCTCCTCACCACCAGCGTGGAGGCCCACAGAGGATTCAGACTCATGAACCCATGAGGTCATGACCTGAGCCTAAACCAAGAATCAGAAGCTTAACTGACTGAGCCACCCTGGCGCTCCTGGGCATGTCTTTAAAATCATCTTGCTGTCTCAGTAATGATTGCTCTAACAAGCAGATTATTCCTTTATGAGAAGAAATTGTGACTGACATAGCTGTCTCCTCCACTCTGTTAATAATTAAGTGTAACTGACAGCTCCTTTAGATTGAATTCTAGATTAGATGCCTGACTAATATTTTATGTTAGCATATCTGTTTAAAGATTCGGGAATGGCTGCACTGAGCCAGACTAATGATTCACTCAGGCTAGCATTCAGATTCTGACATCATCGCTTTAGTTTTTTTCTTAACATCAATAGGAGAGTCTCCTTGCCCAAAAAATAAACATTCAAGCTTCCCTTGTACCACCCGTTACTGATTTGCCTAACAACTTCTTGAATATAAATATAAAGTAGAACTTTCATTGAGAAAGCTTGGAGAACAGGTCATTGCTTTCAAGCATAATGGCAATATGTTGGAAGTAGAATAATTCGTAGTCTATGCCTCCACGTGGCATAACTAAAGCCAAAGAGAGAAAAAGTAGAGAGAAAGATTTCAGTCTGCCATAGGGAAAGTTTTAGAGATGTTGAAATTTGACTGGAAGTATTTAGTGGATGATTACTGAGAAGGAAGTCCAAATTTGGCAGGTGTTCTCAAAAAATAATTAAATGTTAGATGGTTGGACTGGAATGACAGTTATTAGGTGGGGAGAAAGGGTTTAGGTATGGTTCAGAAAATATTTGTGGGGGTTATTCTGATATTCCTAATTTCCTCTTTTCCAAGCTGTTGTGACCCACTAAAATTGGTCTTTGAGTTTTCTATTTCTTCCAAAATTATTTTATTCTCTGACTTGAAGTAATGCATTGCATCAATTTAAAAAGTGTTATTTGATTTTTTTCTAATATATTTTGGTTCAGATTGAACATTAACAGTAATAGTTGGGATTTTAGGGGAAAACATGAAAGTTCTTCTAAAATCCTAAGAACCATGTCTCAAATGTAACTCTTCTAAGTTAATGGTGCTCAATTTTATCCACCTTCATGTCTCATTTTCTCAACACAAAGTCCTATTTTTTCAGGTGTATTTATGTGGAAAGCTTACTAATACACATAATTATAATGGTAAGAAGAGTTTTTAATATTTAAAACTCCTTATGATCCCAATTAAATTTCATTTCTGTTCTAGTACAGAAGACAGCAATTTAAACTTAAATCACATAAAGTGACTTTTAATCATAAGCTGTCTAATTTGATATTTCTCCAGGTGACCAAAGCAAGTACTAAGAGAATCATCATTTTTGAAATGTTTAATAATGACACTTGTCTTCTGCCATTTGAATTTCCCATAAGGAAGAGCAAAGTGTCTCTTTTAATTAAAGTCTCAAGAAATTAAGACTATTTAATAGAATTAAACCAAAAAGAAAGAAAGAAAGAAACAAAGAAAACTTGAAAGGAATTTATTATAAGGAAAATATTCTTTTGTATTTGCAACGAGTTCTGAATTGATCCAATATCATGAATACTGACCTTTATTATTGTAATTCTTCAATTAAAGATTTATCATCCATTAAAACGTGTCATAGTCTTAACATTCATCACTGGTTATTCTATCAAATACTACATGATGAAGCTATTAGGTTAAGCAAATTAAAATAAACTCTAAAAGAAGTGAATATTTTATTTGCCTAAGAATTAGCATACAACTATTCCCTCTAAATTTTTCATCTTGTTAATAAGACTGAAGTTCCAGTAATAGGTTTTAGAAAGGTTTTGTCCTAAATATAAAATTACATTTAGTATATGTAAGCTATTTAAAATCCTTGGGTTGATTCTGTTATTTGTTTACACATGTGCACATCATGTCTATGGTGTTATATGGCCTCCATGTTGGCACAGTTACTTAAAGAGCTGTCGAGGTGGAGGAACAAAAATAGAATACTGCCCAGACTATGCTGACAGTGTTACAGAATTCCTTTATAATAGAGCTGAAGATTTCCTAGAATGTCAGTCTATAGTTTTCTACAAAGAATGTAAATTATTGATACTACCTCTTCAGTTCCTCTCCCAGTTCTAATTGAGCAATTTTTGCATCAGTTAAAATGGCACATTAATACATTAATTAGTCTCAAGAAATGAAGTTTTTGCTGATCTAATTCTCTCAATTTTCAAAGACTGTACTATGTCCATAGACACTGAACTTGATTAAGATATTTGAATTTTAATGCAGATTAAAATATCTTGTGAAATAGAACTTGACATTACAGCTGTAATATAGAAAGACAGCCATATAAGCAGTAACTGTGGTTAAAAAAAAAATAGATGAAAGTATTTGCTGTCATTTGTGAGCCTTGCTGAACAGGTTTATACTCAGCATCATGCATAAGATGTAAATAAGTTAACAGTGCCATTTGAGATCACAGTTATTTAGCATTATTGGACATACTCTACTTCAAATATCAAAGATCCTGTGGGGGGAATTGGGGTATGGAGACTGACTTAAGATCTAGGCTGAGAGTGAAAGAGTGAAGGACATATATTTTTCTTACATGCTGATAATTCACCTCTTAAACTCTGGTCTCCCATGTGTCACTGAGTTTCACAAAGGATGCCTCCATGCTTGTACACCTCTGTTCTACTCCTTTTTATAACTTTTAGGGCTTCCTTAATTCTCATATTACTTTCTCTGTGTCTTTCTTAAGACATTTTTTTACTATAATTTTATGGTAATAATTTGTGTACATTTCCCTTACACTTTGGAAACTCTCTTGAAGATGATGAAAATGCTTAACCATTTTTATATACCACCTAACACATCACTTCCCTTTGTACATAGTTGTTTCTTAATATATAATTGAAGAAATTAAGCAAAATGGAGGAGTGCATTCATAAGATATTGAAGAGATGTAATTGAGAAGATTTGGGAACTTCTCAATTCCCAAGGTACAACAGAGTTGATTATGAAGTCAGCACAAACATTTCACTGTGAAAAAAAGGAGGCACTCATCACCACAGTTATTATAGTTGAGGTAGAACTGTCAGAGTTTTAGATGCCAGGCTACTTTGGTAACATCTCTCTACTGCTTACTTAAAAAAAAACAAAAAAACTAGAAAGTAATGTATGAAGTAAAGAATTTTGTTTTCATCACAGAATGACTGCTTTTGAAATTATGGCAATTACTAATTTCTATGTGGTGGGACTTTGTGCCATGGCTGGTATAGTAGAAACACTAAATTTAATATTCCTGTTAGAGAAACCTATCATAGTCCACTATAAAAAGCACAAATATCAGATTCAAATACTGGTTTCTCCTTTTATGATTCACATCTAATATTTTTCTGAACCTCCATTTTCTTTTCTGCAGAATGAGGGTGATAACATGCTTTTTACCAAGATTCCAAGGGAATACAGATATTTTGAAAGACTTGCTATCAAGTAGTGTTAACAGTAAAGGAAAGATTGATATGACTGCAAATCTACATAAAATTAGATTGGGTCTCAATTCATTTTAGGTATGTGGAATGTGTCTTATAAAATCAGAATATTTGGGGGGTGTTAAAATACTAACCATATGATCTTGAAACCTTATATGATAAATTCATAGAAAATTCACAGCATGAAGTAAGCACGTTTCAAAAAAAAATTTTA